CCCTCCTTCTTTCTATCCGCTGCCCCTCTCAGCAATACGTCAAGAACGTCATGCGCCGGGCAATCGACGAGGTGGGCAACCTCCGCGCCAACCACCGCCTGCGCGAGAGCCTAGACAGCTTCACCTGGCCCATCGACTGGCCTCGCGGCAACGCCACCACCAGCGGCACCATCTATTCCGCCATCAGCAACACTTTCGGCGGCGGCATCGACGGGAGAAGCAGCGGCGGCGGCGGCGGCAACGGCGGCGGCGTCATCGGTCTCCTGTCCGACCTCGTGACTGTCCCCGATCCCCGAATCGCCCGCGCCCTCTCTTACAAGCGCCGCGCCGCCCTGTCCACCGTGGTTGTGGACAACGACAAGGTCCTCTTCGATTTCCGCCGCCGCGGCCTCTACACCGGCCCCGTCAACTTCTTGCCGCTCAGCACCCTCGTCGTGGACAACCCCACCCCGCTGGCCCCGCTGCTGCTGCCGCTGCTCCTGCCTCCGCCGAGGAGAATCGGCAACGTCCCCGCTGGCACGGAAGACGGCGACGGCCGGGAAGAGGGCGCCGACCTGTTACCTCGGGCGCCCGAGTCGCCCGCCCCGGCCGGCTTCCTCGGCTACGCCGTGCGCCTGCTGCGGCTGCGGCCGGAGCACGAGCCCCTGCGGTGGACGGCGCTGTTCGCCCTCTTCAGGGACCTGGCTGTTTTCGAGACCACCGAGCAGGTAGACCACGAGAAAACGTTGAACCGCGTCGCGCGTGTGTCGATGTATGATTTCCTTTTGAGAATGCTGCTGTAACCGACCTACGAGAGTAACTTATGTAAGGGGCCACGGCGGCGTACTGCTGCTGTAGTGGATTCCGTCCGGACACCCTCGCTGCGCACACGCCTTGCGCGCGGCACGCACCACTTACATACCCTCGCTGACGCTCAGAATGTGCTGTTTTCCCCGTGTTTCACATCCTCGGGGACGGAGAGCGAGGCGCCCAGTCTCCACAACCAGGAAGCTCTAATTTCAACCTCTTTTTTCAACGAGACTCGTGGACCCTAACGCCAACCGGGACCCCAGAAAATCACCGCTAACATTCTTTCTCCTTCTCTGCTAGCGCCCCTTGGTGGTTGCCATCGGGGTTGGGTTTTTGTCGCTTGACAACGACGTTGTAAATATGTGAAGCCGATCGCTTCGTGAGCTCGACAAGCTTTTTTTGCCATTGTTTTTTTTGTTTGTGGTAAGCACAATGGTGGTCGAGTAGATTGTGTTGTGCAGGGTCGAGAACCCTCACTCCGCGCAAGGGAGATGATCGAACCACTTGTGTTGAAATGGCCAAGCACCCTCGAGCCAGTGCTTATAGCTGTCTCCGGATTGAAAACATCAACAAATAGATCATGCCATTCGAAGCTGTCAGCCGTACGCAAGGAAGTAAGCACGAGATGCCAAACACCCCAAACAGGATGCAGCACACCCTTCATGCAACTCGCCGAATACCTCACGGCGCTTCGCGCTTGGTGATGTGAGAGCCTGGTCCGGTGAGAACCCGGTGTTCTCCGTCCCGGCTTTGTAGGGATACGAGGTCAACGGTCTGACGACTACGGCATGCACGACTCTGAGCACACCCACCCCTCCCGCACCTTCTCTGTCCCGAACTCGTGCTTTCTTGTTCAGGCGGAGGTTGTTCGCGCCCGTGTTCCCGACCGGCGGCTGTTCTACTGCGCGCTCGACCACCCTGGGGCCCAAGACGAACCCTGCCCTATCGGAGGGCGGTCTATGCCACACATTAGTCACTGGGGGTTTCATGGCTTGCTTGCCGATAGCGGTCTAGGCGGCGGGGAAGGCGAGATGCCCGGAGTACGAGACCGCGCGGGGGAGACGGTGGGGGATGCCTTGGAGAGGCAAGAAAGAATTGCTTGTTTCGCCAGAAGCTCGCTCGCGTTCCTGCAGTACGGCGGCGGGGTCTGACGGAGTGTGGTAGGCCTACGGTGTGGCGGGTGTGTCTCGATGTAGTGAGGCCAGGGCATGGCGGACATGCTGCCGTCGCCACCACTGCCGCCGCCTCTTGTAGTTTCCGCTGTTTTTGTTGTTGTTGGTGATTGGTGACTGGTGATGCTGATTTTATGCTGCTATTTTCTGTTGTCAGGCTATCGCCATCTCAATTCCCCAGTGTCAAGGCTACACCGCCTCTTCTTGTTGAAAGCGTTTTTCGACATGTACCCTGAGCATGCCCGCCAGGACGTTTAGCGTTCAAATGTTTTCTAGTGTGAAGCGGAGCAAGCGTTAGGATCTAGAGTAAGAAAGGGCGAGGAAGGAATAGAGCATATCTTCTTTCGGCCGCGCTGTCATTGATGGTTGCTACGGGGCGTTTATTGTGTGCCCTGCAGGGTACAACACGATCTACTTTGGTACTACATGGATTGTACGCATTCAATGAGTGCACTAGAGCTCGACATCTTGAGGGGTCGAGGGGACTTCACGGAGGAAAACGGGCGCGTAGGTGGTAGGTTCTTCAACGAAATATTTTTCCAGCAGCACCTGCAGGCTAAGAAACACAGTAGTTCGACGTATTCGTAGTGCAGCAAGTTAGTGCAGTGGTCTGTACGCTCTGCACCCCCAGTAGAGCTTAACTGCTATGGAAATTCCATCGGTTAGATAAGGAAGGGGGAGGTAAACTAAAATGATGGATTTGAAAATAATATTAAGCGTGTGGTGGGCTAGAGTGGGCGAGAAGGGTTAGGTTAGGGGGAAGCCGGGGGTCGCCGAACATCTTGAAACTGTGTTCGCCGGAAATAAGGCGGGGGGAGGGGTGGGGGGTAACGAAGCCAAATATGTAAAACATTTCTTGGTCCCATCCAATGAAACGAGAGGTAATATGGTCGACTGCGATGGCACGCCGAGGTTAGCTGACCCGCACATGTAATCTCCTCAAGATCGGCCATCACACCAGTCCCACATACATACTTCGTACGAGTGGTGGAGAGAAAAATTAGAGTTTCAGGCTATATGCAAGGCAAAATTCAAGAGTCCCGAAGAATAAATATATGTAGTCGTTTGTGCGTGCAACGACCACAGCATGCAATGCCGTCTTTGAAGTTTGACGCCGTTGTTGGCTTGGTTCGTTCACGTTCGTATTTAATGGACGTCGGCTTTGGAACCTTTCGGTACGTTTGGACAAGAAGAACCAATCCGAGTCAGGCAGGTGGCTCGTGGGTCATGGGTCCGGTTTTGGGGCCAAGAGAGAAACACAGAAGCAATAATAATATGAACCAAGACCTCTGCTGAGTCGTTTGAGGGTGAGCCTTGCTGTCAAGATCTTCGTATGTAGCCTCTCAGATGACCTCAGGTGGCCAGCAGCTGCTTTGCACCAACCTCAAACCGCTCTTGTTCTTGTCTTTCAGCATGCTAACAGGAAACGAAATGTGCACGTGGTGATGTAGACATGCACCAGCACCACCAACACGACCCGCCGGTTCTCGTGGCCCATACGCGCGTGGGTGTAGCATGCGAGAGAAGACACGGGTCAGATGGCGGACAAAACAGACAGTGCCTTCTGTTCGTGGCGCTTGAGCACGCTTTCGGTATATGCCAGTAGCGGTTGCGTTACAACCGGAAACGAAATGTTGTTAACCAGCGAAGGAACACTGTACACAGCAGAAAGATGCGAAAAATAGCACGGCCTATGCCGATATTTTTTTAAGACAACAACATGACAAATACATGTCCCTGCCGAAAAGCGGGGAAAAACAACAAATGTTCGTGCAAACACGCACCATCACAGCTAGCTGCTCCTCAGCCGTCAAAGCTACCCGCTCACGCTACCGCTCGCGTCGAGTGGCACATGCTAAAAAGCGTCACCAGCGAATCAGATAGCCGTGCGTGATGAAGCGTGAGAACTGCCAGACACCAACGATCCAACCCGCAATTAAGACACTAATAATAATGGTTTCCGGTAACAAGTGATGCACCTCGCACTGAAGCCCAACAGACGATAGACAGAAAGGCTGCAAAACACGCGCACGCTTTCCAACGCAGCTCGCAGCGCACCGCCGCCAGACTTGGCAGCAGTCAAATTGGGAGCAACGTTGTCGATCAAAACAGCATCTCCCACCTGTTCTGCTACACCGGGCAATTCGATCGCCTACAACGACAGTCGTTGGGAAGGGAAAAACGAAGCACACACAGACAATACTTCTTATCGTACATAAATTGACGCCAGCTCGTAGCTATCGATAAAAAAAGGGATGCACACCGGCCCATACGTCATACATGTAACCGCCAAGACGAGAGTATTCGTGCCATCTTGGCGATAAACAGTATCACTGCCCCACTGGCAGACGGGTGTCGACAACCATTCCGACGTCCAGCATCACATGGTGTGCATCTATATTGAACAAAAATAAACCGGTCGCAACCACCCCCCGGGCCCACAAACACACACACATGACTACAAAATCTCGACGCAACGGTGCACTCAACGCGAAACAGACAAGCGAGACCCCATCAAGAACAGAGACAGCCCCCCCCGTCATACAAGTCCACCTCCTACGCCCAACCCTTCAAAAACGGGAAGCATTTCCGAACGACGGAACCATGCCCCCCCCCTCTCGCCTTCCCCAACCCAGTCCCTGTACACGATACTCTGCACCATTTACAACACTGCAACGGCTGACCCCGCCTCCCCCCACAGACCGGCACTTTTTCACAGCCATGTGTTTTGAGGGGCCCCTCTCGTTTGCACTCGAGACGGCAAGTTTCAGCACGAACGCCGCAACACCAAATCGGACAGTGCAACCCCACCTCCCAGCTGCATGTTGACGCGGCATTCGTGCCGTTTCAGCCATGGATCCGCAGCGCAACCTCCTGCCGGGAGAAAGCACGCGGGCAATCAAGGAATTCCTCAGTCGTCAAGGTAATTAATTCACGCGACCAAGCGGTTATTTTCGACATTTTCTGGAGACAGATGTACGGCGGAGGGCTTTTCGGTTCTTTCGTCGTGTGAATTTTGTAGTGACTTTTTCGCGTGTAGCGCGAGCCAAGCACCGGTTTCACACGTGCAGTCGTTCGCAACTGACACGTATAGATGCGTGCGGGGTAGAGTAACAACACAACCGCCTTGTTGCCGGCGCGTTGCTGTTGTATTTGCTACTGTACATCGACATGGTGGCGGTTACGGACTGCTGTTTGAGTTTAAACCGTGTGGGTACTATATGTACAATAGCACCCCGGTACACGGCTTGCGACAGTAGCATTCGCAGCCCTTTTCTATTTTAAGTAAAAACTGGGTTAAGGTAAGGGATAGGGATAGGGTGTGTGCGTATCCCCTCCCTGTTCTACTTTCTCATAAACTTGATATCTCGCGAAGCAATTATAAGCCATCCATCACACACACGCGCACTCAAAGCAACGGCCCTTCCTGATCCAACCTGGAAAATCCCAAGGGTTTACTCGGTAACGTTTTTTTAGGCGGACAGGTTTTCGGCGGTGATGCCATTTGGCGGTAATTTTTTTGGCGATAGGCCGTAATGCGTTTTTCGGCGGTAACGACTGTGGCCGAGGCGGAAATTTTGGCGGTAATTTTTGGCGGTAGGCGTTGATACGATTTTCGGCGGTAGTGACTTTGACGGAGGCGGTAGAACAGAATTTTGGCGGTGATTTTTCGGCGGTAACGCCATACGGCGGTAATTGTTTTCGCGGTAGGCGGTGACGCGTTTTTCGGCGGTAACGCTTTTTGGCGGGGGCGGTGAAACCAAAAAACGGCGGTAAAACGGAGGACTATCGGGACCGCCCACCACGGCGGGAATTCAACGGCGGAAAAAGTACCGAGTAAACCCTTGGTAAATCCAATGTGGCATGCATACTGTGGTTAGTAACGTCAACAGACTTTGATGTGCGGCACATGCTGAACGCTGCACAGCACAACCCCCCATATAAATAGCAGGTGGAAAATTGGAGCCTCGCCGCGCGAACAATATACTTGAACATCGGTATGCACATACATATGCATACCAGGATACCACACTTCACTGCTGTATGCATTAAGCTTCTCAAAATGTAGACCACTAGTCTACTGTATGTGTGCACCTACAGGTGTCGTGCATCGAGCGAGGACGAGGACGAATGTGGGTGGTACCTTGTGCTAATAGTTCATGCACTGGTTCGTCGACACTACTGCTGAACTTGTGTTGTATGGAGGGGGCTGGATGGAGTTTTGTATGCATATGGCCGGTGCGATGTACCTTACATCCCAGCACCTGCCCAGCTATCCATCTATCCATATGTTACGGGCAAAACGCACGCAACTGCCCCTGCATAGCAACAAGGGAGGGCCTAGCTACCACGGCCTAGCGCCCGCTTGTTCTGGGAGGGGGGGGGGGGGGGG